TTAAACCTTAAACCAAAAATATCCCCTGAAGTCTTCTTAAAACCAAGTAATAGTTTAGCTTAACTAGTAAAAACTGTCTGCCTTGAGCATTATGCTCTTTTATCTATATGGGATAAAACTGACAACAGGCAACTTGAAAGATTAGGGGGTAATGAGTTTATGTTAATGTGGCAGAACAACTCCAAAAAATAAGGTAAGAATGCTTGCACAACTTAAAGAATGTAATCAATGTCACTAAACTGTACATGTAGAAACTACTGAATTGGTGTATGTTTTGCTGTGCATATTCTCAACAGCAACGAAATAAATACAATTTTAGGAAAAAAAAGAAAAAAACTATCTCTGGTGGGCTCCCACTGCTGCTGCTAGGATAGGGTGGTAATGAGCTTCCCCAGAAGTCTACACCACTTCACCTGGTCAAAGCCTTGGACTAACCAGGATGAACAAATCTGTCCTCTCTGCCCCATTTCCTGACATGTAAAGGACTGTCTCTAAGCTGTCCCCCAGGACTTTGTACAGTTCCATAAATCACATATATTGGCTGAGGTCATTGTGTGAAAATTGTTGCAATAAAATGGTCTCAGGCATACTATGAATAAAAGATCTACATTTAACTATTGGTTGTATTTGTTTGCAAGCTCAATCAGAAGACCATGTAAGTCTTAAAGAAAGAGATAGAATTCTTTTGAATTCGATTCATTGTGAAGCAACAGGATGGAAATGAACATAGGACTAAGAAGACATTCTAATAAACTGTTCAGCTCCCATTTACCTTGCTGAAAGTGAAGAGGGCTTGAAGCACTTACTAATGAAGATCAAAGACCACAGCCTTCAGTATAGATTATGCCTCAACAAAAAGAAAACAAAAATCCCCACAACTGGATCAATAAGCAACATCATGATAAATGGAGGAAAGATTGAAGCTGTCGAGGATTTCATTTTACTTGGATCCACAATCAACACCCATGGAAGCAGCAGTCAAGAAATCAAAGGATGCATTGTATTGGGCAAATCTGCTGCAAAAGATCTCTTTAAAGTGTTAAAAAGCAAATATGTTTCTTTAAGGACTAAGGTGCACCTGACCCAAGCCATGGTGTTTTCAATTGCCTCATATGCATGTGAGAGCTGAACAATGAATAAGGAAGAACAAAAAAGAATTGATGCCTTTGAATTATGGTGCTGGGGAAGAATATTGAATATAGTATGGACTGCCAGAAGAACAAACAAATCTGTCTTGGAAGAAGTACAGCCAGAATGCTTGTTAGAAGCAAGGATGATGAGACTTCATCTCCTGTACTTTCACATGTTATCAGGAGGGACCAGTCCCTGGAGAAGGACATCATGCTTGATAAAGTAGATGGTCAGTGAAAAAGAGGAAGACCCTCAATGAGAAGGATTGATACAGTGGCTGTAACAATGGGCTCAAGCATAACAAGGATTGTGAGAATGGCGCAGGACCAGGCAGTGTTTTGTTCTGTTGCACATAGGGTAGGTATGAGTCGGAACTAACAACAACTCCCACTGACCTTAACATATTGTAGTTACTCAAGGAAAGTGTATGGCTATAAATGGAAGGAGGGAAGAAATAAAGCTCACACAAATGAGCAAGTAACGATGAAGACGGTCAGAGAATTCTTTTACATTTCAATCTAGGAAAAACATCAAGCCTTTATTGCTGATGCATATTAGAGCTGATTTACCATAAATTCAAAGCAAAGCTGAAAACCCTTTCCTAGACAATTTGGCTCCTGGGGCTTTAGAAACAGCTCTGTCACAGTAGAGTCCCGGCTAGTCCCCATCATCTCCCATTGTCTTAGGCTGGGTTCTCTAGAGAAGCAAAACCAATGAAGCATATATGTATGAACATATACCTAGATAGAGATTTATCTCAAGGAAATGGCTCACATGGTTGTAGAGGCTGGCAGGTCCCAAGTTTGTGGGTCAGGCATCAGATTGGAGGCTTCTGCTGACTCACTTAGCTGCAGGAGCTGATGAACCCAAGATCAGGAGGTCAGACAGCAGACAACTAGCTTACAGGCCACAGAGGCTGACGAATCCTAAGACTGGCAGGCAATACTGCAGGCCGCTGGCTCAAGTCCCAAGAACCAGAGGTCAGATGATGAGGAGTCAGATGCACTTTCCAGAGCAAGCAAGTGACCTTTGTCAGAATGTCCATAAATATTGGATGCAGGCCACATTCCCAAGGAAACTCCCTTTTCAACTGATTGGCCACTCATATCAGATCACAAAATGGAGGATAATTACATCAGATCACAAAATGGAAGATGTCTATATCATTACATAATTGACAAATTACATCATTACATAACTGCCAAACTACATCATTACATAGCTGCCAAACTACTGAAAATCACGGCCAAGCCAAGTTGACACACAACCTTAGCCATCATACCCATCACACCACCTTTAAGTGCTTCATCAACACCTCTAACACTGTCCTAAATTTCTTATAACAGGTCCCCCAACGGGGCCGTGTGCATCTGGTTTGGCCCTGGTCACCTGCCCCTCCCTTCTCACCTCCATTCCCTAAACCCTGCCCTACTCTGTAGCCAGAACAGCACCCAAGAATGCAGGCCTGACCCCTCTCTCCTGCCTGCAGCCCCCCAGTGGGTCTCTGTGAACAGTGGAGTGTCAAAGGTTGCCTCCTGTGGCCTCTACCCTCTCCACATAGCACCTTGCTCACTTTGTGCCTCCAGTCTCTGGCTCTCCCCATCCTGTGGCCCCTTTGGGGCTCTTTCCATTCTTGTGTCCTTCCTTTCCTTCTTGTAGGCATCTGAATCAGTGACTCTGCTAAAACCCAATCCTTCATAGCCCCATCTCCCACACTCCTCACCACCATCTACAAGTTCAGCAATTTTAAACCAATGATTGTGTCCTGCAAATCTCCCACGTTTCATGCCTCTGTGCTTCCATCTGCTCGTGAGGCCCCCTTTGCTGAATTCTCTGGCCACCATCCCCAGTCTCCTTTGCATGACTGTCTCAGACTCATCCTTCAAGATGCAGTGCAGGTGGCACCTCCCCTAGAATGATATGTGATTCCCCCAGATTGAGTTTGGAGCCTCACTCCCCTTTGGATGCTTTTGGAGCAAACTGGGTGTTAATCATCATGTGTTAGACTGAAATTGCTTTTTTATGGATCTGCTACCTAAACTTCAGTAGGACAGGTAACATTTACACTTTTTCTTTCAGCAAAAACCTCAGACATGGAAAACAGTTTACACTAAATATATGCTTTTGAACTGAAGTCGAAGCACTCTGCCGACATTTTCAAAACTTTAGCCTGAGCTCACTTTCCTTCTCTTCTCTGAGTCTCCTCTGATCCCCTGACTTCCCAGTCCACAGACCTAGTCTACCCCAACAGCTTCTCTCAAGCCCGTCAGCCACTTTCAAGTGCTCCATCATTGGGTTGTTCTAACATCTGACTTTATTTTTACATTTCTGAATTGTCCTCCTCACTGAAACCATCTCTCAGTTGCTTCTGGTTCCCACTGGTAGCTTCTGTCCTTGGCCCCTATGGTTTCCTTGGTCCATCACTTCCTTATGAGCTCACTTGTCTTTCTGTCCAGACTGGGACCCCACGGCCAATGCTTTTAGGTGACGTGGGTCTAATTCTACTCTAAAACTTCTTCCTCTTTCTTTTTTCTGCCTCCCCGTCTTATACTTGTAAGCAGGAAGCCAGACTATGTATGCCTTGCTGAGAACTTTACCTGCTGGAGACAGTTGGGAATCAGACCAAACCTCCAAACAGACGCCCATTGCAGCCTGGCTGTCTCTTCAACAATCTCATGGTCGCTTCCTCCAGACAGCTGCTTCGAGCTGCCCCAACTTCTTCATGCCTCAAACTCTCCTGGCTGTGTTTACACCCAGACAACATGGTCTCCCTCCTTTCTTTCCTCTTCAACTTGGACTTCTCAATAAAGGCTAGGGCTTCTTGCCTCTCCAGGATGGGCCCCACAGCCTCCCTGATCCTGACTCCTCTTCCTTGAACATCCCCCTCCACCTGGAAAATGTTTTCACCTACCTCAGCCAACACAGACATCCTTTCCCTTTGATCACACTTCCTCCCAAGACGGGACCCAGAGTGCTGCAGTTTCCCTTCCCATAAACCTACTGAAAATATGACTTCACTGCCACTCATGTCTTTGAAGAACACCCTCTACCTTCACTGTAGTCAAAGTGCCTTCTCATTCCTGGGCAATCACCTCCCAGCTGACAAATGCCACAGCCTTTGTCCCAGACCCACCCTCTTCACACCTGTGCAGCATCAACACTTTCCACCTCCCACTCAATGTCATTTTGAAGGGGAGGGTATGTGCTATACCAACCAAAGACCATTGTGCCATTTTACACCATGTTCAGTGTGCACATTCTTATACACGTACTTCAAACGCCCTTATCTGCCCTACAGTCTAGTAAACAAATGATCTATATAATAATTCAAGTCATCTTCCCTTTATGCTATCAATTTCTACTATTTCTTCCAACAGATTTTAGGTTTACCAACAATCCCTTAGTAAAAACTTTGGAATGCCAAAATAGGGAAACCACATGGGATAGCAAAAACAGTCCCCAAGTTGTCCCCACACATATATTTCCAGCCTTGTGGAGGTGTAGGATGATATGTCACTCTCATCTACTTACTTTTGCATGGGGTAGTAGACAATGAGAATCCTCCAACTAGCCCATCAGTGCTTGCCACCCTTAAATCTATCTGCATCCTCACTCTATAGCCTGGACCTCTCTGACTGAAATCACTGATGTAGCATCCATTGGGTCTTCATTCGTCTAGTGTTTCTCTACTCCTTCCACTTTTCCAAAATATTCAAGAGTTAAGAGGCATCAAGAATGCCTTCAATTTCTCTGACTTTTTGTGTACCAGTTTTATTCTCTATTGCCTAGCACTCATGGTTCCCCATCAAACCCCCACCATTCCATCCCAGAAGGCCCATGAAAATGGGAGCTGACAAACATCCTCTGACCTCCAGCTCCTGGAAATCCTCCTCTTCCTCCACATCGTAGGAGAGGGTGTGGATTTTGATGTCATCAGCCGAGAGGTCAATGAACTTCCCATCGGGGTACTCCAGGCTATCTTTGGTGGGTGAGTGGTCCTCAATGAAGGTGGTCTCGCAGCAGTCGGCAGCCATGCCTTCTCCCCAGGAGCGCAACACGCCCTCTGAGTAGAGGATGATGTTGGGGCGGTAGTGGGACTCCACTGACTGCTGAAGGGTGTTGGGGTCCAGCAGCTGCTGGACTGGCTCACTTCTGCTGCCGTCCAAGACAGCCGGCATGGTGCCAGCCACTACCTGGCAGCTCTGGTACTGAGGTGCTGGGTAAACAGACACCAGACCATCTCTGCTCTCTGCCATCAAGTTCCTGGTGTTAATCAGGCCATTCCTCTTGCTAGCATCACTGATTTTACTGTGCACGAGCATGCTTCTCTGCTCCATGGTGCTCTCCATGGCGCCCTCCTCTGGCCAGGTAAGTCCACCTTCGCCTCACAGGCCCATTTCTCCTGGAGGAGGAGGAGACAGACATAAGACCAGAAAACTACACCTAACAGACAGCTAATCAGCCTGACCCTTGTTCCAGACTGTACTAGTCAACCGTCACCTGTATGCACAGCAGCTGGGAGAATCAGATAACATCCAGGCCTGCCAAATTTTAAAAAGGCTCTATCAGGGCAGCCAGCTTAAAGGAAGCCAGAAATCGATTACCCACATCTATATAAAGTCTGTGCTTCCAAACTGTGGAGTCTCTGCAGGAATTGGAAGTATTACAGCTCTAGAGGAGCCTACGATCACCAGCAGATGTCCTGAGACCAACAGGGAAGACCACAATCCCATTAGCATCCATCCAGTCCACAGAGAAAAAGTCCATAAATCTGTAATCAGCACTGGCTCTTTCCAAATCCATAGCTGTTCATTCAAACAGGAAAACACACACCCAAGGACAGAGTTTGAAATAACGTCCCACACAGATTTGGAAGACAGATGACAAGAGGACCCACGTCATTAGTACTGTATGTGGACAAAATTCCTCATCTCAGGAAATCCTCATATGTACATGTTAGTAAATTCTAATATACTTATTGAAGTTCCAGGGTGGCACAAATGGTTTGCACTTGACTATTAAACTAAAAGTTGGTGGTACAAACCCACCCAGGGCACCATGGAAGAAAGGCCTATCAATCTGCTTCCATAAAGATTACAGGCAAGAAAACCTATGGAGGAGTTCTACTCTGTAACAGGTGGGTTGCCATGAGAGGGAATTGACTACAATAGGTTTTGTTTTCTTTGTTTATTTTTTTTTTTTTGTTTTTAGTTTAATGTACTTACTGGAGTCCCTGGGTGGTATAAATGGTTAAGCACTCAAAAGGTTGGAGGTTTGAATCCACCCAAAGGCACCCTGGAAGAAAGATCTACTTCAGAAAAAACAGTCATTGAAAACCCTGTGGAGCGCAGTTCTATTCTCACATACATGGTGTCATCATGAGTCAGAATTGACTTGACATCAACTCATTTAATGTACTTGTTAGAATTAGCTCAAAACTCACACATGCTTACTGGATTTCTAGCATAGTTCCAGTAATATGACTGGAAATTTCCCTTCCTTAATGATGTTTGATTTAGTAAAACATCTACAAATTCTGGACACAATTAAGAAGTATCCCAAATTCTTTTCTCCCTAGATCGTGTTCCTTTCTAGGATTGTAGATGTTAAAATAATAAAAAGAAAAGAAACCTGAGCTTAAATTTTTCAAGAGATAAAGAATATCATCAGGCTTTCCCTCCTTGCCAGGTAATAACTATTTTGTATGAAAACATCCAAAACATAGGAACTCCTAGTGTTATGGTTTTCTATCAGATTTAAGAATTTTCTCATAATGGTGTAACTGCTTTATTTGGTGGTCATTAGAGTAATCTAAAAAAGATGGAAGGAATACACAGAGTTACTGTATCAAAAAGAATTGGCTGACATTCAACCACTCCCAGAGGTAGTATATGATCAAGAACCAATGGTACTGAAGGAAGAAGTCAAAGTTGCACTGAAGGCATTGGCAAAAACAAGGCTCCAGGAACTGACAGAATACCAATTGAGATGTTTCAACAAGTGGATGCAGTGCTGGAGGTGCTCACTCCTCTATGCCAAAACATTTGGAAGACAGCTACCTGGCCAACTGACTGGAAGAGATCTGTATGTGTGCCCATTCCAAAGAAAGGTGATCCAACAGAATGCTGAAATTATCGAACAATATCATTAATATCACATACAAGTAGAATTTTGCTGAAGATCATTCAAAAGCAGTTGCAGCAGTGCATCCACAAGAAACTGCCAGAAATTCAAGCCAGATTCAGAAGAGGATGTGGAACAAGGGATATCATTGCTGATGTCAGATAGATCTTGGCTGAAAGCAGAGAATACCCGAAAGATGCTTACCTGTGTTTTATTGACTATGAAAAGGTATACGACTGTGTGGATTATAAGAAATTATGGATAACATTTTGAAGAATGCTAATTTCAGAACATTTAATCGTGCTCATGAGGAACCTGTACATAGGCCAAGAGGCAGTCATTCGAACAGAACAAGGTGATACTGCGTGGTTTCAAGTCAGGAAAAGTATGCGTCAGGTTGTATCCTTTCACCATACCTATTCAATCTGTATGCTGAGCAAATAATCAAAGAAGCTGGACTATATGAAGAAGAACTCGGCATCAGGTTTGGAGGAAGACTCATCAATAACCTGCATTATGCAGATGCCACAACCTTGCTTGCTGAAAGCGAAGAGGACTTGAAGCACTTACTAATGGAGATCAAAGACCACAGCCTTCACTATGGATTACACCTCAACATAAAGAAAATAAAAATCCTCTCAATTAGACCAATAAGCAACATTATGATGAATGGAGAAAAGATTACAGTTGTCAAGGATTTCATTATATTTGAATCCACAATCAATGCCCATGGAAGCAACTGTCAGGAAATCAAACAACGTATTGTATTGGGCAAATCTGCTGCAAAAAACCTCTTTAAAGTGCTAAAAAGCAAAGATGTCACTTTGAGGACTAAAGTGTGCCTGACCCAAGCTGTGGTATTTTCAATCACCGCATATACCTGCAAAAGCTGGACAATGAATAAGAAAGACCAAAGAAGAATTGATGCCTTTGAATTATGGTGTTGGTGAAGAATACTGAATACACCAAGAACTGCCAGAAGAACAAACAAATATGTCTTGGAAGAAGTACAGCCAGAATGCTCCTTAGAAGCAAGGATGGCGAGACTTCGTCTCACATACTTTAGACATGTTATCAGGATGGACCAGTCCCTGAAGGACATAATGCTTGGTAAAGTACAGGGTCAGTGAAAAAGAGGAAGACCTTCAACGAGATGGATTGACATAGTGGCTGCAACAATGGCCTGAAACATAACAATTATGAGGATGGTGCAGGACAGGTAGTGTTTCATTCTGTTGTACATAGGGTTGCTATGAGTCAGAACTGACTCGACAACACCCAACAACAACAACAGAGTAATCTAAGAATTAGAAGAAGTACAGCCAGAAGGCTCCTTAGAAGCAAGGATGGTGAAACTTCATCTCACGTATTTCAGATACGTTATCAGGAGGGACCAGTCCCTGAAGAAGGACATCATGCTTGGTAAAGTAGAGGGTCAGTGAAAAAGAGGAGGATCCTCAACAAGATGGATTGACACAGTGGCTGCAACAATGGGCTCAAACATAGCAATGATTGTGAGGATGGCACAGAACTGGGCATTGTTTCGTTCTGTAGTACATAGGATCGCTATGAGTAAGAATCAACTTGACAGAATCTAACAACAACAACAACAACAGAGTATCTAAAATTTCAGACTGACCAAAGAAAGAGAGATAGAGAGGACATCTTTGTGACTAACTGAATAATCTAGGAGAACATTTCAAGAGAATTGAATGGAATGATAAGCTCAAATTTTAGTACACGCACTGAGATACAAAGGTATTATTAATGTGGCACTGTACGTACACTGGAAACCCTGGTGGCACAGTGGTTAAGAGTTGGCTTCTAACCAAAAGGTCAGCAGTTTGAATCTACCAGGTTCTCCTTGGCAATCCTATGGGGCAGTTCTACTCTGTCCTATAGGGTTGCTGTGAGTTGGAATCGACTTGACGGCAATGGGTATGGCATGTACATTTGAGAGGCTGAAATAAACACTACCACTGCTTCTTACACAGCTCCAAAGAAATACTTACCTCTGTAGCCACACTCACAATGAAGAATTAAAATCATTAATTAAACTAATTGAACAAAGATCTTTTAAGTGCCTGCAACATTGAAAGCATAAGATGTATTTTGTGGTCATATCTGTGTGCGATGATCTTTCAAGTTAGCAAAATGTGTGTAATATGATTTTTCTGGTCAAAGCACTCAACTTCTCCAATCTCCCATGGAGAAGCCACTAAACTGCTCTTGAAATTGGATCCCTTGTATGGTTTGAGATCTGTTGGATGTGATAAGAAGACTAGAATCATCTTCTTGAAATTCAGTTCTGTTTCTCAGACTTAGCTCCTTCTACTCAGATCTGTGTTCAGTATCTTACAGAAGACTCTTCATTGCATTTGTCCAAATTCTACCTCCTCCATGAAACCTTGTTCTTGCTCAGCCAGAAGTAGCCTTTCCCTTTTCTTATGTTTCCATCAGCTTTGCTGTAGTTTTTCTTTCAGTGCCTATTGTCTCCTTTTTCACCAACTTACAGCTACTAAGATCAACATTCTGCATCTGCCAGGAGCTCCTTGAGACAAAAGGCTTAGTGTTATCTTTTCTCTTTCCAGCACCTGGTATGTAGTAGATATCTAGTGACTGTTTATTGGAATAAACATAGTCTCAGGGGTTATGTGACTGGAATAATCGCTACTTGACAAAGTTCTCCTTGAGCTGTGCAAGCCCCAAAGGTGAATCCAGTCTTAAGGCACCTTGAGGCAGGCATAGCACGTGCCTCTTTTGTCTTGACTGCTCCCATCTCAAAGTGCAACCTGGGAAGCATCAGCCCCACCTGGGAGCTTGTTAGAAATGCAAAATCTTGATACCACTATGGACTGACTGAAAGTGGAATAATTAATAAAGCAGTTGAGAAAGAAAAACTTTAAATCCTTTTCAGCTCTATGAATTGTACTTCTTATCCAAGAGTCTTTGGGATTTAGGGAATTAGAAATAGCTTTTCCATAAAGCGGTGAAAAGTGTTATACTGATCACAGTACGCTGGGTTTCAGTTCAATAAAATACATATTTACCAATCACTTATTATTGCAAGGCACTGTGTTAGGTGCTTGCAGGGGTTAGAGAGAAAAGTAAAACACAGTTCCTAATATCAAGTGTTCAATTAGTTAAAAAGAAAACAAGTATATGAACCACTGTAATTCTAGTTAGACAATGAACATGCAAGAAACACATGCTGACATGGAATTGAAATCTAATATTTCAAAAAGAGCAAAAAAGAACTGAGTAGATGATACAGATTGT